GTCGGCGGGCGTCAGCTAGCGCTCCGGAGCGTGTGGTGGCACCCGAATCACGATGGATGGGCCGCACGAGCCGCACGGCCGTTCGTGCAGGCTTGCTCCAGTCGACGTCAGCAGCGACGCCGGCCTCGCTCATATCCGGCACGCACGGCCCCGCAAAGGCGAAGGGCGGCCGCGGCTATGTCTCCCTCCTCGACCCGGCGGCACGGCGCGCGGGCGTGGACCTCTCGACCCCTCGGTCGACGCTCTTTGCTCATTTCTGCCCGCGTCAAGACCGCCTCTCCCTCGCCGCCGCCCGCCGCACCTTGGGTGCTTCGCATGGCGATGTCACAGCGGCGCTGGACGAGCACGGCGGGTGCCCTTCGCGCCTCTGGCTGGAGTGGCGGTCGGCGGGCGTCAGCTAGCGCTCCGGAGCGTGTGGTGGCACCCGAATCGCGATGGATGGGCCGCACGAGCCGCACGGCCGTTCGTGCCGGCTTGCTCCAGTCGACGTCAGCAGCGACGCCGGCCTCGCTCATGTCCGGCACGCACGGCCCCGCAAAGGGCGGAGGGCGGCCGCGGCTATGTCTCCCTCCTCGACCCGGCGGCACGGCGCGCGGGCGTGGACCTCTCGACCCCTCGGTCGACGCTCTTTGCTCATTTCTGCCCGCGTCAAGACCGCCTCTCCCTCGCCGCCCGCTGGGTGCTTCGCATGGCGATGTCACAGCGGCGCTGGACGAGCACGGCGGGTGCCCTTCGCGCCTCTGGCTGGAGTGGCGGTCGGCGGGCGTCAGCTAGCGCTCCGGAGCGTGTGGTGGCACCCGAATCACGATGGATGGGCCGCACGAGCCGCACGGCCGTTCGTGCAGGCTTGCTCCAGTCGACGTCAGCAGCGACGCCGGCCTCGCTCATATCCGGCACGCACGGCCCCGCAAAGGGCGAAGGGCGGCCGCGGCTATGTCTCCCTCCTCGACCCGGCGGCACGGCGCGCGGGCGTGGACCTCTCGACCCCTCGGTCGACGCTCTTTGCTCATTTCTGCCCGCGTCAAGACCGCCTCTCCCTCGCCGCCGCCCGCCGCACCTTGGGTGCTTCGCATGGCGATGTCACAGCGGCGCTGGACGAGCACGGCGGGTGCCCTTCGCGCCTCTGGCTGGAGTGGCGGTCGGCGGGCGTCAGCTAGCGCTCCGGAGCGTGTGGTGGCACCCGAATCACGATGGATGGGCCGCACGAGCCGCACGGCCGTTCGTGCAGGCTTGCTCCAGTCGACGTCAGCAGCGACGCCGGCCTCGCTCATATCCGGCACGCACGGCCCCGCAAAGGGCGAAGGGCGGCCGCGGCTATGTCTCCCTCCTCGACCCGGCGGCACGGCGCGCGGGCGTGGACCTCTCGACCCCTCGGTCGACGCTCTTTGCTCATTTCTGCCCGCGTCAAGACCGCCTCTCCCTCGAGGGAGGTGCTCGCAGCCAAGGTCTTCTACTACCTCGACGTTGCGGGCGGGCCGCTGCATCTCATCGACACTGCTCGCCTCACCAGCTACCAAGAGCTGAGCGGCGTGTCAGCCGCCGCGAAGGCACGCTTTGGAGCCAGGCTCATTGGCCTTTCGTTCGGCCAGGTGGTCGACACTGGTGCGGGCGGTGACGGCCGAGCGGTCTGCAGCGGGGAGCTCCGTGCCGCGCGAGGGCCGGCGCGCGAGGCTCTTGGCTATTGCCGCGTCCCGTGGGGAGCGCCGACCATTGTGAGGGTGTCGCCCGCCGCTGCTGCCGCCCTACGCGTAGAACTAGCTGGCATGCAGCTCGTGAGCCTCCAGAGCGACCAGCCTGACGATGGTGCAGTTCTCCTCCGCGTTCACTGGCCCGACGGCGTCGCTCTCGCTGGCCAGGCGCGCTCGTTGCTGCCTCAAGACGCGCTCATCGTGCGCATCGGCGACACAGTACCAACCATCGCCGACGTGAACTCTCGCGAGCGGTTGCTAGCGGCCCTCGGCACTGCTGGAGGGTGCGTCATCGCCGAGGCCATCAGCCTGAAGGAGGCTGCCGCCAAGGCGCACAGGAAGGCTCCCCGCGTCCACATCTCGGGCCTCAGCGTCTCGCGCACGAGCAGCGGTCGGCCACGCAGGACCGCCGAGTGGTTCCGCGCACAGCCGACGGAGAGGTTCAACAAGTGGGAGTTCACGCAACAGCCGGCTGCTGCGCGCGGCGACCCGCAGCCGCTCAAGCTCTTCCTCTTCCACCCGAGCAACCCCGCCGCCACCCCAGACGCGGCGGGAGGCCGCAAGATCAAGGTGGCCAATGCGACCGGCGTCGAGCAGAATCACTCGTGGAGCGTCAAGCACGCAGAGGCCGCGGCTCGCCGTGCTGCACGCAGCGGTGACGGCGATGTCGCGGCGGCCAACGCCGATTTCGAGGCGGCAAAGGCGGAGAGCCGTCGGTTCAGCGACTTGTATAAGCACGCGAGCCCCCTCTTTGTCGACGACGAGAAGCGAGCAGCTGCCGCCCACATGCCAAGGGCCCGCGGCCGTCCCAATGTGCAGGACAAGGGGTTTGCCACACCAGGACAGTGGGGAGAGTACCGGAGCGCCCTGCCGTCACGCCTAGGGAGCAAGGACTCCAACCTCAGCAGCGGCGACAACCAGGAGCTCAAGGCGGTGAAGAGCTTCTTTCGCGCGCGCAAGAGGCAGAGGCCGGAGGAGGTTGCAGTCGACGAGCTGCTCTCCGAGCTGCATGCGCAGGGCAGCGCCTTTGACTGGTCCCGACTGGTCGATGCCGGCGGTGGCGGCGGAGGCGGTGGCGGGGGCGGTGGCAGCGGAGGAGATGGCGGCGGCGGCGGCGGCGGCGGCGGCGGCGGCGGCGGCGGAGGTGGCGGGGGAGGCAGTGGCGACGGCGGGGACAGTGGCGGCGGTGGCGGCGGTGGCGGCGGTGGCGGCTCTTCTGAGGCTGCCAAGGACGCTGTGACCAACCAGCTGCTCCTGGCGCGCAGGCTGAAGACCAACATCGAGACGCGCATCATACGGGCGCAACAGAACACCACTGTTGCTTCCATTGACCACGAGGTGAACACGGGGGCGCTGGACGAGCTGTTCGAACAGCTCAGTGAGTGCTGTGAGCGCATCAAGAGGCTGCAGCAGGATGCTTTGAGCGCTTCCTTTTCGGCTGCTGCATCGCCCCGCGCACCAGCCACGGCTGGCCCGTCTAGCGCAGCGGCCGCCTCGAGCTCTATCGCAGCGGAGGAGAGCGAGGAGGAGGACGCGGGCCTTGACTTCTCCGGCCTTCCATCACAGGCAGCCTCTCCCAGCCTGATTGCGATGATCGATGATGCATCGGACGAGGAAACCGATGATGAAGACAACGAGTGGGAAAGCGGAGACGAAGGCAGTGAGAGTGTGTGGGAGGGCGAGGAACATGAGGCGGAGCTAGAGCCTGAGGACACTTCAGACGCAGAAGAGAGTGATCATGACTAGGCTACGTGTACGTACACGGTGTACCGTACTTCGTGTGATTTTGTGAATTTTTTTCGTGCAGGGGCCCTCCGGGGCGCCGTATGGGCCTCGGGGTGCCCGAGAAGCTTAGAGGTGCGGTTCGTGTCATGGACCGGCCCTGGGAAGCCTTTGACCGCGCGCGGAGGGTGTTACGGGGCCGTGATGATTTAGTGGGTTGGAAATCGGCCGATTTGCCCGTGTGCATGGAAACGTTGCGACTAATTATAGTGCTTAGGATTAGTAGTGGTGCTGAGTACACGTATACTGCACGTGAAATGCGTTGAAAGGTCATAAAAGGCAGTCGAGTTTGTGGGCGTGTCTCGTGTCTGGTGTTGCATGTCTGGTTGCACTGTCCGGCTGCCCTCGCGCTCTGTCTGGTGGCGGCATCTCTCTGGTTGCATGTCTGGTTGGATCTCGTCTTTGTGTATGTTGTCTGTTGAATGATGGGTGCTGAAGCAAAATGTTGCGTAAGAGCGCAGCCGTATCTGTGCACACGTGGGGGGGGGGGGGGGGTTTGTGTTCTGGCCCTGGAACGAGGCCGCCCTGGCAGCGCCGTGTGGCACCGGATGCGGCGCGCTCGCCACGGTCGCCCGTGGGATGCGCGTCGCGCCGGTGCGCGCGCCGCCCCACACCGGGCCTCCCGGCTGCATCTTGGCGCCTGACGCCCGTCCCAGCCGTCGCATCCGCAGACGGCGCCCTAATTGTGCTCGCAGCCGCGCACGCCCTGAGCAGAGAACGTACGTACGAAAGGCGCGAAAATTGGTAGTAAAAGGAGTTTCGATTACACAAACTCCCGCGTAGCTTTTGCCGCTCTCCGAGGGTCTAACAACTACATTTTTCGCCAAGTAGCTAGAACTCCAGTTCCGTCAGCCGGGCATTGAAAATCTCTATGTGGCGGCGGGCAATCTTGGAAACTTCCAATTTTTAACTACTAAAAAAAGTGGAAGCAAGTTGCTTCCACTTTTTAGTAGTTAAAAACCCTGAAACCATAAATTCTCGCAACTCGAACGCATGCTACTTACAGCTGCTGTCTGTACAGAGATGCTAGCACCCCCCACAGGCAGAGCGCTGCTGCTGGGGGGGGGTCCCGACCCCCCCAGCAGCAGAGCGCTGCTGCTGGGGGGGGGGTCCCGACCCCCCCAGCAGCAGAGCGCTGCTGCTGGGGGGGGGGGGTCGGCCATGGGCTTAGGTGTGCAGGGGGGGTACCGAGCAGTGTGCGGCCGCTCCAAGCCGCCTCGCAGCTTCGGCAGGTCGACCAGGCGGAGGTCGTAGTCGCGCACGCGCAGGACTCACATCGGGAAACGGCGTTCGCCGAGGGGGCCTAGGGGCGCGATGTGATGTCAGAGCAGTCACAGGCCCACGCTGCAATGGTCAGACGGCGGCGATGCAGCCTGCTCCTCTCGACATCTTTGTTCGCGCTCCGACACTCTCTCGGCACCGCCCAAATATGTGACGGTGGCGCATATAACGTACTTCGCGTGACGAGAGAAGTAGAGCTGCAAGAGCTCACCCTTTTGAACAAACCATTAATACATATACAAACTGACACTACTCCTCTCGCAGCGACGCCGCCTCTAGCATCCGCGCGAGCTCGCTGCTAGCTGCGGCAGACAGACGGTGCCGGTTGACAAAGTCCCGCACCTCCGCTGAAGGAGGCGCAACAACCTCCCCCACACCCCGCCGCTTGGCATCCCTACCCAGTTCCGCACCCAAGCGCAGCCGCCGAGCAACATCGTCCTCTGGGTTGACGCGCCTCGCTGAGCCTGGCCGAGCGTGTGCGCTACGAGGCGAGCCTTGAGGGACAGGGCGGCTCGGAGTGGGCGTCTCAGCTATTCCACCGGGGGTCCGCTTCCGCGCCATTCGCTCGGCAGGAGACTCTGGGAATGCCGCAGCAGGGGGCAGCAATGGCTGAGTCGGCTGCGGAGCCGGCTCGCCTACTGCATCGGGGCAGCCCTCCGAGCTCGGACAGGCCGCATGGAGTAGCGCACGCTGGTACGGGGACAGAGCGAGAGGTCGTCGCGTGCGAGCAAGTCGACCACGCAACACCGACTGTGCCAGCTCGAGGGACTCGGTCGCGGCAGCAATCAGTGAGGAAACCTCCTGTCGGTCGGCAGCGTCCTCGAGCTCCTCGGCCCCCTTGACGCGCCCGCTCACCGCATTGCCTGCAAAGGCATCAGCAGGCAAGAGCACAGGGAAGGGCTTGCCGCCGGACCGCATCTCGTGCAGCACGCGTTCGCACATAGTCACGCGTGGCACGGAGCCACGCTCGAGATGCGGGTGCGGCGCATTCTCCACCACGAGCCCGCCCCTAGGAATGAGAGCTAGACAGAGCATCTCGTGCCCCACGCGGCTGGCGAAGGGGGCAGCTGCGCCGAGAGGAGCAGAGCGAAGGAGCGCGGGCAGGGACGGGGTCTCGTCGAGAGCGCGCACGTGCTCCATGAGAAGGATAGCTGCCTCCCGCCCCTCGAAGCAGTGGAACGCGAGCTCTGGCAAGAGCGCGCCCGCACTGGCGCAGTAGCCGCAACGGCAGCAGTGATCGCAGCCGGCACACCCCTCCCCAACCTCCCCAAACTCACGCAGCAGCGCAGCGCGGAAACAGCCAGTGGTAAAGAGCACGCCGAGCACCCGCACAAAGTTGGCAACGCCGGCGCGGTCCGTCGGCGCGAGAAGCGCCAACCGCTCCGACGCAAACTGGCCGGTCATGCACAGTGCGGCCACGCCCGACTCGCCATCCTCGCGCGCGGCTCGGCCGACGTGCTGGGCGAGCTCGATAACGTCCGCGGGAAAGTCGTACCCGATGACGAGCCGCACACCAGGGGTGCTAGTGCCTGTGCCGAGGGCGCCGGTGCAGACGATGATGCCGCGAGGGGAGTTCTCCCACGCGCGGCGGTTCTGCTCGCGCTCTGCAGGGTCCATCGAGCGCGAGCAGTAACACCAAGCCGGCTCCGTGCAAGGCGGCTTACAGAGAGCAGCAGCGAGCCGGCGCGCTGTCGACGTGAACGAGGTGAATATCATGGTGCGTCCCTCGGTCGCCCATCTCGGTGCCGCGTTGCGGATGAGGGCGAGAGTGCGGACGCCGAGGTCAATCAAGCTCTCCCCGTCGGCGCGCGTGAGTGGGATGCGGTAGTAGGTGACGTCCGGGCGGTCGATGGATCCGCGCAGCACCGACGTCGTCGCCTCGCTCATCCGCAGCCGGCGCAGCACGCGAGGCGTCGCAACGGGCGGCAGGGTGCCGGTGAGGGCGAGTCGAGGCGGCCTGCGCTGCACGCCGCTCGCCACCGTGGCAGCAGAGTCGCCTATCTCCCAGCAGATGCCGACGCGCCCGACAGAGGGCGCGTACGACGCCATCTGCTCCGCGTCAACCGTGTGGCTCTCGTCCATCACCCGGCGTCGGAGCGTGCGCAGAGTAAGAGCCTCGCGCAGCAGCCGCCCGCGCCTGCCCTCGGCGTCGAGCGCGCTGGCGGTGACGATGACGAGCGCGATACTCGCATCTTCAGCGATACGGCGCTCGGGCGACCGCCGGTGGAGATCGGACAGGCACGTCGGCTCGCTAGCCTCCTCCTCGGCAGTCTCTGTCTCGGCAGCGCTGCTCTTTGCCGGCGCCGGAGAGACCAGCGCGGCGCTGCGGGTGCGAGCCATGGGCGCCGTCGTCGAGGGTGTCGCCGACGAGCCTCCCTCCTCGCCGCTCGCGTGCGGGGCGAGCAAGCGGGACCGAAGGACGCAGGCCTTGAGGCCGCGCACGGCTCTCGTGGAGCTGACTGCTCGCGACTTCGGGTGCGCCTGGCACCAGTCACACCACTCCGCCGGTCTCCCGGGCGCGGCCACCTTGCACGACCAGCAGCACCGCGCGTCGCCGACCATGGGCAGATTTGCGTGGAGATTCGGCGCCAGCGTGCCGCGGCAGCCCTCGCAGGAGCCGCACGGCAGCGCCGTAGGCCACGCGCTAGCGGTCTCGCCGCCCTGGCTCGCGGCGGGTGTGGTTGCAGGCGCCGCCTCTCGAGCAGCGGCTTTTGCGGCGCGCGGCGCCCCGCGGCGCACGAACAGGGCGGTGGCCGCGGCGGCGCGACCGGGGAGGCGCCTTGCGTCCCGCAGCTTTTTGATTAACGCGTCGAACGCCGCCGCCTGGTGCTCCCCCAAGCTGACAAACGGCACGACGAGCAGCGTGACCGACGGCAGCTCATCGCCCCGCTCCACCTCGACCACCCAATCAGCGATGGCGGGCAGCTGGAAGAGCAAGGACTTGCCGCCACCCGTCCGGTCGACGACGAGCAGGTCCTCGCCGCGCGCCATGAGCTCGAGGCCGCGGCGCTGCATCGGTCGGAGGCGCCACTCGTCGGGCAGCAGCCGCAGCCAGCTCGAAAGCTCGGCGTCTGCAGGGCACGCAGATGGGCGTGAGCTGGTGGGAGAGTCCAAGAGGTGACTCATGGCACGCTCACCACCAGACATGCGCCGGCTGGCCATGGTTGAGAGGTGCAGGTCACGCGGGATGGCAATGCGCAGTTTGAGCGGCGCCAGCACCACCGCGGGCGGTGCTTCGGGCGGCGCGACGCCACCTGCCGCCGGGGCCGGGCGGGAGGGTATGAGAGCTGGCCCACGACGCGTTTTCAGCCAGTAGATGCACGCGGGGGGCGCTCACGGGCGGCCGGGAGAGGCGAAAACGCTCTGGGGCGCAGATCGCACTGTGGGTTCTACAAGCGGGCCCACGGTTCCCTGGGGTCGCCTCGTGAATAAACGAGTATAAAGAGCGGTGCTTTTTTTGTGACGTCCGTCCCACATCCTTGTGTCGGGCTTGAGCCCGACTTGATCGATGGGAGCTTCGGACAGCAAGCCCAAGGAGGGCTCGACCCCGCAGGTTCCCGAAGGACGCAAGTCCATCGCGCACGAGCCCAACGAGCTCTTCTCTCCTCGCAGGGGCAACGACGAGGCGTCGGGTCCGCTGGCCGAGTCGCTTGGCAACGCGACCCGCCACGGCGTGAGCCCGGGATCTGGCGGCGCGGCGTACGCCAAGATCAACCAGGACCGGGGCGTCGCTCACTGGCCCTACAACGGCTCGCACAACGAGGCCCTTTTCTGCGTCTTTGACGGACACGGGCGCAATGGCGAGAAGGTGAGCGAGTTCTGCGTGAAGGCCATTCCGGCGGCGCTGCAAGAGGTTGGGGCGGAGCTTCGCGCGGACCCGCCGGCGGTGCTGCACCAGACCGTGATCGAGGTCGACAAGAAGGTGCTCAAGAAGGACGGTGGATCCTTCGCCAACATGTGCGGCACGACGTCGACGATCGTGTACGTGCAGGGCTCCACCTGCTGGGTGGCGTGCTCGGGCGACTCGCGCGCCGTGATGGGCTACGTCGAGCGCGGCAGCGTCAAGGCGCGCGACCTGTCCGTCGACATGAAGCCCGACGCGCCAGGCGAGAAGGAGCGCATCCTCGCCGCGGGCGGCGAGGTCTCGGTCGGCCGCGGCAACGGTCCGTCGCGCGTCTGGTGCGATGGGCGGGTGGGTCTGGCCATGTCGCGCTCGATCGGGGACGGGGAGTGCAAGAAGTACGGCGTCATCGCCGACCCGCAGATCCGCAAGTTCGACATCGACGTCGACCGCGGCGACCGCTTCATCATCTGCGCGTCGGACGGCGTGTGGGAGGCGCCACTTCCGAGAAGCTTCCACACGGGCCGCACCGCCGCCACACCCGCTCGCTAGACGAGAGCCTTGCTAGTCCTCTGCCGCCCTCTCGCCACCTCGACTGCCACCAACGCCTCACCACCACCCGCCCGGTGCGTGCCTCGTGCCGCCTCACCGCCCACCTCGTTGCCCGCCTCGTTGCCTTTTGCCCCCGCAGTTCATCAGCTCCAAGGAGGCGTGCCAGATCGTCGCGAAGGAGTCGGCGTCGGCGAGCAAGGCGTGCGCGAGCCTGGTGCAGGCTGCGGCGCAGCGCTGGAAGAAGGCAGAGGGCAACTACCGCGATGACATCACCGCGATCGTCGTCCGCCTCCCGTAGATGCGGAACACGGGCCCCTCTGTATTCCGACTAGCACTCGAGAAGGACACACCCGGCAGGACGCAGCCGTATTCAGCAGCAATCAGCTAAGCCCCTGCATTCGCCCCACTCGCTGCATTCATAGCCCGCGCGCTCACAACGCAGGTCCGTCTCCCCTTCATCCAGCCCGACGCGGACGAACCGCCAAAGACGCTCGACCAGGTCTGCTCACGCGCGCGCGCACCGGGCCTTGCACCTTGCATGCCGCGGGGATCGCCGGGCCCTGCACTTTGGAGGGGGGGCTCCTTCCCATCGTCCCAGATGCCCCACGCGAGCGTGCGCAGAAGCTCATCGTACCTCTCACCTTCCGCGACCAGGTGGGCGTGTCTGGCTCAGTCAGCGGCCGTCTGAGCGGCCACATCGACCTCGACGGCGGTGTCTATATCAACCTGGGCGAGACAGGCCTCGAGCAGATCGCCGAGGGGCGGCTCTCCACCGCCGGCGCTGGCGGCGGAGGCGGAGGCGACGCCTCGGACTTTGCAAAGCGGCGGCTCTCCGTCGCCGCCAAGCCCGCGGACGACGACGACTGGGAGAATGGCAGCAGTGGCGATGACCTGGAGGTGGAAGTGGAGATGCCCGCGCCCGCAGCGTAGACGGCTGGCCTGTCGGCTGGACAGCGGCTTCAGTCGAGGCCCATTGCGAGGAGATGAGAGGTTGTGCGCATCTGCGAGGACGAGTATGAGCTTGTGATGCGTCTCACTGTGTTCTGGGGGTCGTCCACTCTTCGTCTGAGGTTGTTCCGCTTTGCCTCGAGTTCGTGTAGCGAGCCTTTGGTGCCTCGTGACGGAGCTCTGCGTGGAGTTGTAGAGGCAATAAAAAGAAACACAACTCGAAGAGAGAGCGAATGGCGGGAGTCGAGACGACGGCACGCCGCACCGCGCCGCCGCGGACCCGCCAGGCCGCCGCAGCCGCCGCCCCGCGCGCCCGCCCGCCCGCCCGCGCCGCTGTGCGCTGACGGGGGAAGGCGAGAACGGACGCAGCTGCTATCCACCCACCGTGGATCAGACGCACTCAGTGACTGTACAGTGAGTGTGGGCTCCGCAGCAGGAGTGTACACATGCCCACACCTTCCGCTAGTGGCGGCGCTACAGTAGAGAAGATGCGTCGCCGTTCTCGTCGGCGGGCGCGACGCCCCGCGAAGGGCCAAACCCCGAGCCTCGGCCGAAGCTCTCGGACGAGAGGGCGATGTCTCCCGAGGCGAGGCTGCGCGCGGAGACCTTTCGCGCCGCGTGGCGCAGCGAGAGCAGCGGGACGCCGTCTGCGGACGGGAGGCACCTCCGCGGCGCGAGGGCGAGATTAGACGAGATCAGCCGAGATCAGCCGAGAGCGGCCGAGAGCCGCTGATCAGCCGAGAGGAACCGAGAGGATCCGAGAGCGGCCGAGCTTGGCCGAGGTTCAGCCGAGGTTCAGCCGAGATGAGGCGCCTCCGTAGCGCGAGGGCGAGCACGCCGCCAGAGACGAGCAGCGCAAAGGAAGCGGCGGCCCCAGGGCCAGGCCGCAGCGGCCTAAGACAAGCGAGCTGCCACTCAACAGAAAGCTGTGAGGGGGGAGGGGCCCTGGGCCAAGCGAGGTGGCCGCGGCGGAGGGCGCGGCGCGGCGCGGAAGTCGCGCCTGTAGATGCGCGGCGGCCGTGAGGCAGGGGAGAGGGGCAGTGAGAGGGGCAGTGTGAGCCGTGTAGTGCAGCAGTGGGAGCAGCGTAGCAGTGTTAGCCGTGGAGAGGGGCAGTAGTGTAGAGGTGCGGCGGAGCGGCGCGGCGCGGAAGTCGTGCCGGCAGAGGAAGGCGCGCTCGACGACGTGGCCGGCCGCCGGACCTGCCGTCGACTCGACACGTTGGGGATCTCGGCTGATCTCGGCTGATCTCGGCTGATCTCGGCTGATCTCGGCTCGTCTCGGCTAGTCCCGGCTGATCTCAGCTGATCTCGGCTAATCTCGGCCGCCATGCCTGCCGTCGACACGTTGACAAAGTCGTCGTCCCACGAGCCTGGCGAGTCAAGACCACCCGAGATGGGCCGAGATGGGCCGGGATGGGCTGGGACGGCCCGAGATCAACGTCATCCCGGGAGCCTGGCGAGTCGAGCCCCGCACGGAGCGGGTAGATGTACGCGCCATCGGTGGTCTCGTGCAGCTGCCCATTTGGCTCTCCCGGGCTCCACGGGTGCGGCCCTCCGTCCCTGGACCCGTCGGTCCAGCGCCACTCGCCCTCGCTCTGCCGGTCGGTGAAGCCGATCCAGCACTCCTCCGCACAGAGCGAGAGCGCGACCTCGTTCTCGGCGGCGGAGTGGACGGAGGCGAGGTGCATCCCGCGGGAGAGGCAGGCGGCCTAATTAGCAGTCAATTAGTAGTCAATTAGTAGTTAATTAGGGAGGCGAGGTGCATCCCGCGGGAGAGGCAGGCGGCCTAATTAGCAGTCAATTAGTAGTCAGTTAGTAGTTAATTAGGGAGGCGAGGTGCATTCCGCGGGAGAGGCAGGCGGCCTCCGACCCGACCCACGACCGCTTCGGAGCCGCGTGGTACTCGAAGCAGGTCGAGGTGCGGCGCGGGGCGGAGGACGCCGCCTCGCCAGGGAAGGGCGCCGGACCGACGCAGGACCAGCGCTCGGCCAGGGGGATGGGCGCGGCGGAGCCTCGCAACAGCGCGTAAAAGTCGTACCTGTGGCAGCGCCCACTTGTGTCGTCGTTGTCTGTGTCTCGCTCAGTGCGACCGTCTCTCCGTCGCTGGAAATCCGGTGTCTGGTCGTGGCCGACGGGTGTTTCGCCGCTGCATCTACCGGTCGCACCGCCGCCACGTCTGCAGACCCTCGGGGCAGTCCGCCGAAGAGGTGTACTCCTCAAAGCAGCCGCCACCTGTGATGGGTGTGTGGTGGATGGGTGTGTGGTGGTGCGTGGTGGAGGCGCGGCAATGGGAGGGGCAGCGTGCACCTCGCTCGTCGTAAAGAAAGAAGTCGCAGCCGGGCAGGGCGTCGCAGCGGAAGGCGCACTCGCCCACGGTCGAGGCGAGGCCGTCGCCCAGCGCCATGTCGGGCGAGGCGCACTCGGCATGCTTGTGCACCAGGCTCCACGTGAACGGCGTGCGGTCGCCCTCAAGCGCATAGAACGAGACGCCACGCGCCTCGATCCAGCCGCTGTCGCAGTCTCTGCTACCGGCGTGCGACTGCCAGCACTCGAACGTTGTGCTGTCCCACAAGAAGTACGAGCAGCTTGCCTTCTCGCGGCACAGCCGGCCGCAGCAATCCGCTCCCTCGGTCCAGCAGTAGCCAAGCCGTGTTTCTCCGGCCGTGCAGAGCTGATCGGACCGGATGAGATTCCAGGTCGTCATGTACGCGATACTGCCGACAGCCGAGTAGAGCGGAGGTTGTTATTGTTGCCAGGTTGTTGTTCGGCCTGGTTCGGCCGGGTTGTCCTCTACCCCCGCGCTGCAAAGAGTTTTTTTATATTACCCAAAAGCTAGGCTACACAACGCCCTCTATGTTGGGTCAAGGCGGGTTTTTACAACTAGTGTGGGACCTGCGGCGGTAATCCCTGTCTAGCGGAAATTTTCTGTATATCGTGAATGATCGCGCAATATCGCGCAATATCGCGCAATATCGCGCAATATCGCGCAATATCGCGCACCCCTCCGGCCCCGGCGGCGGTGACGGTGACGTTCCGAGCATATTTTATATTTCTTTGTTTTCCGGTCGCGCTTTCCCGCCGCCCACCAGCACCTCTCGCACTTTCGGCGCCCAGGACTGACACGTGTAACGCTTCACGCGCGTCGCTGAGGCGTGCTGTGAAGGGCTCGCGTGATCGCGAGCATCGCACAACATCGCCATTTATCGCATTTTATCGCCAAATATCGCGCGGTATCGCGGTTGCGATATTGTGAAAAATTTTCGCTAAGGCAGGGCTGCGGTACCCGCCTCTGTTGTTCGGGCAGTGAGAGACGCAGGATCTGCACGCGAAGTGTGGGCTCCACTCCGCATTTGCATTTTGGTTTTGGGTGTCGGAGATCATCCATCGCAAGCATTGCTAAAAATCTCTCTCTCGCAAGCACTCATCAGTCAGTCACGTCAGTCAAACCCGCGCCGAGCCGGTCTCGGCGGGAGACCTCGGAGCCGCACGCGATGCTGCGGGCGTGCGCGATGGCTCCGTTGGCTCCGTGCCTAAGGCAGATAGATTAGGGTGTGAGCTGCGGCAGCCAGTCGGAGGCCGCGATGGATGGCCCAGGGCCGGCGGCGGTGAAGGCGTCCGTCGATGAAGGGATGTCGTCGAGGGAGCCATCGTCCTCCGCGCGGTGCACCGGTCCAGTTGTCGGAGTTCGAGATCGCAATCGCCCGTTGACGAACTCACGGAATGTGAGCGACTTGGTGCACGCTGGGTCGAGCATCATGACTCGCACCTCATCCTGGGCGAGGAACTCGCCCAGGGACCAGCTGTTGGCGTCGCCGTTTTGATCGAGCTGCATCCACTGCATGGTTTCGTAGTCAAGCGTAAACGCCCAGGAGTTGGTGCCTGGGTGACTTGCTGATGAGAGCGCCTTCCAGGCGGGTAGTCGTGCCCCTCACCTAAGGTCATACGGCGGCGTCAGAGGGGGGAAGGGGCGCGAAGCGTGAACATGGAGGCAAGCAGGTGGTGGCTGCACCTGGCCAAAGCCGGCGACCTCGAAGTTGTCGTAGCTTGTGCGGATATCGCTGAGCGTGAGAGGGACCGGATCGGCAGCAGCATGGGCGGCCTCGTCAGCGGCCGGAGAGGCCGGAGAGCCGTCCGACGGAGGCCGGTCGTGCATCGGCGCGTCGGCCGTAGGGGCCGTGGGGGGCGGCATCCATCGCTGCGGGTCGCTGCGGGGTGCCGGGTCGCTGCGGGCCGACGATGTGGACTGATCGATCGTCGGCGGGCGGTGTTCAGCTGGGACGTTCTACGGTTAAAAGAGCGACGGCGCCGACACGAGAGACTTATAAGGGTAGACGAAGAATTTCCAAAAGAATTTTCTTGCTTTGCGACCGCGCACACCCCCCAGGGGTCAGGGCTCTCTTGCCCGTAGCCCGATGCCAATCGTCCTCTGGGTGCGTGTGCTTCTTAGGTCATCTTAGGACTTAGCTCCCCGGCCCTGGGGTTACTGACTGCACTCCACTCCAAGGCTGTGTCCAGGCTGTGTCGAAAGGCTGTGAAAGCACGCCCACCCTAGCGGGATTGGAAGAACACGCCCGTAGAAGAACACGCCCGTGCTAAGTCTAAAGAGCCAAGGTGGGCCACACCGGACGGCCGTTCTTTCTGCTGCAAGTCCTCTCGATCGGCGTTGAATCCCGGCCTCTTTTTCAGGCCGTCTTCACTCCGCCCGGCGACTCCATGACGGCGGCGAGGCCGGCGCCGGTGAGGCCTAGCATGAGGCCCTCGGGCACGTAGTGCATGGGGTACTTGAGGGGCAGCCCCGGCGTGAGGTAGCCGAACTTGGCGTTGAACGGGTACACGATGGCGATGCCGAGAGAGAGGACAAAGGCCGCCTTGGCCGCGACCGCGGTAGGCACGTGCATCGACAGGTAGCACAGCACCAGCAGAGACACGCCGTGGCCGCGGATCCAGAACTCCATCCCGGGCGTCGACGGCATATCCCAGTGGTCGGTCACCTGGAGCGGGAGTCGGCCGGCTCTGCCGCGCGGTTCTGGTCATCGTTCAGATGTGTGTGCGTAACGCCTCTGTGGGTGGTGCGGCGTGAGGGAGGGCCGATCGAGGAGTCTGTGGTGCGGGAGGGCCGGTCGAGGAGTCTGTGGTGAGGGAGGGCCGATCGAGGAGTCTGTGGCGGTGCGGGAGGGCCGATCGAGGAGACTCACCATGTTTGCTGGAATCAATATCATCTGCAGGGCGTAGATGCCGAAGATGACGGACGTCGCCTTGGTGTAGATGCTCGCGAAGCCCATGACTTGGTTGGATTGAGGCTGTTGATGAGACACTGGCCGCCGGTGAACGCCGAGGAGAGGGGTGCAGGGTTCGGACTTTTTGCGGGGTATGGTATGGAGCGCAACCAAAGTTGGAACCCTCCTGCCAGAACAAAATACAATTTCCTGGGGTGAGGACGCATGTGAAAATTCTTTTTGTGACCGAGAGTTGCCCCCAAAAGAAATCACTCCCCCACTCATAAATTAGCCTAAGCACGCTTTTCTCGCCAAGTACTATCTATATTCTTTTGCTTATATTCTCGCCAGACCATCTATATTCTCGAGAATATTCTCGAATATTGAGAATATTTTCACCACGCGAGAGGTCAGCGGACGCCAAAAATCGCTCTAAAGTAGAGGTTTGTGCTCCCAAACCGCTCAGGAACGTCCAAAACTTAAAGATTTCCGTCAGCATCGACCCAAAACCTACTGTTGAGGGGGCAAAAGAGCTGCTTCGAGAAGCTGTAGTCAAGACCGTTCTAGACGCCGCGATGTAACGTCGAGAATATTCAAGAATATCTTGAGACTCGAGGTCAACCAAGGTCAAGGGCTGAAGAAAACTTGTAGATTCTTGAGAAAAAGCCGCGCCGGGGCATCTATATTCTCGAGAATATTCTCGAATACGAAAGTGCGCGGGACCATCTATATTCTCGGAGATATTCGAGAATATTGTGCTTAGGCCAACTCATAAAATCGAAGAACAAGAATCTCTCTCTCTAAAATCGTGGGGCCGCTTCAGTTCACCAAGTCCCCCCGTGGGCCGACCCTCCCATTTTATGAAGAATAAATTTCAGATTACCCGGTTTTTGAGATTCGCCTCGCAGATTACCCGGCCAACGATATTTTCCTGCTTAGCGCGATTTCCGAGAGAGATTTTTAGCAATACCAGTTTGTTTGATTTCCGTGAAACCAGTTTAACAACAAAACCAGTTTACCCAGTCTCCCACAATTCATGTTTCAGCTTACCCGGTCGCTAAAATTTCTCAGGGCAGATTACCCGGTCGGCCAAGTTTCTCGTCCAGATTATCCGGCAACGATTTTCCTGCTCAGCAGTAATTTGGATAAATTTCAGATTACCCGGTTTTTGAGATTCGCCTCGCAGATTACCCGACGAACGATATTTTCCTGCTTAGCGCGATTTCCGTCAAACCAGTTTACCCAGTCTCCCACAATTCGTGTTTCAGCTTACCCGGTCGCTAAAATTTGTCATGTCAGATTACCCGGTCGGCCAAATTTCTCGTCAAAACTGAGAACCAGTTTACCCAGTCTCCCACAATTCACGTTTCAGCTTACCCAGCCGCTAACTTTTCTCATGTCAGATTACCCGGTCGGCCAAATTTCTCGTCCAGATTACCCGGCGGCTAACTTTTCTCTTTGAGATTACCCGGGCGCGCAAATTTCTCGTTTCAGCTTACCCGGACGCGAGCGTGCACCTCGTCCAGAGTGCAGAGAGCGAGCACCTGCGGCACTTGGTCCTAAGGGGTCCTGTACCATGCGGAATCGACCCTATCCGGTGCTCAAGTGCTCAAGGAGAGCTCCCACTCGGAATCCCGGAATCCCCGGCCTCGTTTGCTTGAATGACGCAGTCGTGAATCCCAAACGGTTTCAGATTACCCGGCGCATCCCACTACCGGGTGATCTGGAAAAAGAAATTTCACGATCCGGGTAACCTGGAAACGACATTTCGCCGTGTTGGGTAACCTGGAAACGACATTTCGCCGTGTTGGGTAATCTGGAAACGACATTTCGCCGTGTTGGGTAATCTGGAAACGACATTTTGCCGCACCGGGTGATCTGAAACCGCTCACGCCGGGTGATCTGGAAAACGCCGGGTGATCTGCGAGGCGAAAACCGGGTGATCTGGAAAAAGAAATTCTCTCCTGCCTCGAAAGGGCGGGGCTGTCCCGGAAAGTGAGAAACGCCGGGCAGCGTGGCGCATCATTGAACCCTTCCATACGTGCTAGTGCTCCTCCTTCGCTGTCCCATCTCCTCATCCCTTTCCCACCTAGGCGGGGCGGGGGTCGGGGGGGCGGCGGGCGCGGGTGCGAGGTGCGGTGCGGTGCGTGCAATCGTGTGTTTGGCGTCATGTCGTGTGTGCCTTCGCTTGTTCCTAGTAACAACGAAGTCTAGCTCAAAAAAGAAATTTCGTGACCCGGGTAACCTGGAAACGACATTTCGCTGTGTTGGGTAATCTGGAAACGACATTTCGCCGTGTTGGGTGATCTGCGAGGCAAAAAGTCGCAGACGCCGGGTGATCTGAAAAACGCCGGGTGATCTGCGAGGCGAATCTCAAAAACCGGGTAATCTGAAATTTATCCCAGTAATTTCATCAAAAAACTGACAAATCAGTTTACCCAGTCTCCCACAATTCGCGTTTCAGCTTACCCGGTCGCTAAAATTTCTCAGGGCAGATTACCCGGTCGGCCAAATTTCTCGTCCAGATCACCCGGCGGCTAACATACTTTTCAATGTATGTGGCTCTTACGTACATTCCCGGAGGAGGACTGCTGACAGGGTTTGCGATGAGGAGTGACCCGATTTTCTCTTTCAGATTACCCGCTCAGGCAAAATTTCTCGTTTCAGCTTACCCGGACACGGCTGCCTAGCTAGGCGCAAAGGCCGGACTCAGCGTGAACATCGTCCAGACAGAGAGCGAGCACCTGCGGCACGTGTCCTAAGGAGAGCTCCCACTCGGAATCCCCGGCCTCGTTTGCTTGAATGACGCAGTCGTGAATCCGTACAACTCTTTCAGATTACCCGGCGCATCCCACTACCGGGTGATCTGGAAAAAGAAATTCCGCTCCTTGGCCTGTACGAGGTTTTCCGGAAAACAAAAAGGAAAACAGAGGGTCCCCAGCACTTTGCGTTGCCGGAAATTTCCAGGGAAAACAGAGGGTGTTTGGTGCTCCATTCCGGAAACTCGCGAGTTTCCCTGAGTCTGAGAGCTGGTCTGGGGCAAAATCTGAGGCAAAATTGAGGAATCGACAAAATACCCAGGCGGTGAAAGGAAAACAGACGGGGTGCGAGAGGAAAACCTCGTACAGCCTAATCCGCTCCCGGGTAACCTGGAAACGACATTTCGCCGTGTTGGGTGGGTATCTAATCTGGAAACGACATTTTGCCGCACCTGGTGATCTGAAACCGCTCACGCCGGGTGATCTGGAAAACGCCGGGTGATCTGCAAGGCGAGTCTCAAATGAAGACAACCAACAAGAAAGAAATGAACCCGCAGGGGTGAGAAATCAAAGGCGGCACGCCGAGTCGGCAAGCGCGTGCGCGGCAAACGACCAAACATAGCAAGGCCGACTGTGTGCACATGCTGGTGCGTCTCATCCCGCTCGCCGCAGCGTCGGAGTCCTCGCAGCAGATGCTCGACTACTGGCGCTTCCACGGCATGCTCGTTGGCCCGGCGGCGGCGCGGCGCTGCGTCAAAAGCTTCGACGGCGTGATTCTCTTCATGCCATCAACATACGACCCCGCAGCCTTTCAGGCCGAGGACGCCGCGCAGAACGTCAGCCTTCCCTTTGAGGTGCGGACCCTGACGCTCCTCAAGTACTACGCGCTGGTGCTGTGGAGCCTCACCGGGCTGTGCACGCTCCTCCGCCAGACCAGGACGCTCGACGCGGCGGGAGAGGACGACGAGAAGCCGCTTCTTCCAACGCCGCTCGCGGTGCATCGGAATGTGGTCGAGTGCCTCCGCGCTCGGACCGGCGCGTCCCGCGTCACGCTGGCCCGCCGCTTCGAATTCCGTTTCCGCCTCATCGGCCTGTGGGTAGCCATGCACCATTACCGCTCCGCCTCCGGCGGCGAGGGGCGGCTGCATCTCGTGGAGGTCTACCAGTTTGACCGCAGGGTATGCGCAGCGTGGGCCTGCGCGATCGCGGCGCTAGCCATTCCGCAGCTGTGGAGGGTGCTGCTGCTGCTGCTTGGAGTGACTTGAGGCATGGCGCATGGCGCATGGGCACGGTGTTCAGGGTGTTGATTTTTTGTTCAGACGAAGACTGCTTGACGAACCTGAGCCTACCTGCGTGGTACCTCTCTCACACAGGTCACCGACTCACAGCGCGGGCCACCACCGGCATCAGCAAATAAAGTTATAGTACGCGCAGTGTACACAGTAGTGTGTCAGTAACAGATAGTAAACTGTCTACTGTACGTGGCTGGGTTCACAGCGATTGTAGGAAAATGAAGGGAACACTTGACGGTCGCGGCCTTCCGACTCGCGCCTTCGCCTCACTGGCACTATTGTAGCCCTGGCCGGTGCGCGTGCGGAGTTGAAGTTCCGGAGTGAAAATTCGAACGCGTTCTCTCACGGTGACCAAAAAATGTCCACCTAGAGGCACCTCCGGAGGCAGGCCGCCGCAATCCGGCGACACAGCTCCAGCTGTCGAACTGACCCGCAGCTCCTCTCAGAGCGGGAACTGTGACGAAAGTTGACTGAGGCGGTTGTCAGGAATCATCATACGGATCACATGGTGACTCTCTCATGACGGGAGACCGCCCGACCACTCCTGGGTGGCACTGCCACCGGTGTCGCTCGACGTCCTGTCGACAGCGTGCCGACAGCGACACAGACCATGTGGGACGCGTCGAGTATCGACCTCTACTGCTTACCCAGCCTTCGAGTGTATCCTGGCTGTGGTCCCACACCCACTGGTGTCCATCTCAGAGACCGCAGGAGGTCATGAGGGTCGATGGGAGTGCCAACCCCACAATGCCTAAAAACCCAGCCCAGTATTCTTTCCCCCTTGCTTCGGGCCGGGCCTCAAATGCCGGGCCCGGGGTAACGTGTAGGGTAGGATTGGGCCCTCCCGTCGGGGCTTTCCCTCTCTTCAGGCTGGAATTTTCACAGCAGAAAAAGAAAATTTCCGCGGAAATCACGATGTCAACCCTTCCCCCGATACTCCAGGGCGAACAAGGACTTTTGCCGGAGGAGGTGGTGGCTATGACTTTGGACCTTTGCGAGAGGTGGCGAGCGGAGCAAGAGCGGTGTAGGCGCGTCCACGCGGCGCAGCGACTCTCCCGCGACCCTGGCCCCTCTCGTAGCCGCAGCCGTAGCCGCAGCCGTATCTCTTGCCGCTCTTCTGTGCCGGGTTGTGATGAGGGTGAGGGGACGGATTGAAGATCCCTCACACCAAGATCGTGCAGGGCGGGGACACATGTCCCTAAATCCTCCATCTCGTCTCAGTTTGACCGCGTTTTCGGTGATCTGATGCTTGAGCTTGTAATCTCTTGTAGGGCTTGTGAGAGTGGCCTGCCAAGCTCCCATGTCACAGGAAGGACTGTGGTGTGTGGAGTGTGGTTGCAGGAGAGTCAACCATCACTTTAGTTGGTATAGTACCCCACCCATCCAGTTATTTCTTTTTTAGTTTGCTTTTCCCTTACCTTTTGAGGGTAGGTGTTTTTTTTTACGTTGCTAGGTGTAGGTACCGGGAGAGAGAGAGATTTGTTGTGTGGTACCGGTAGGTAGGTAGGTATGACGTAGGTAGGGGTGAGTGAGTGAGTATTCTTGATACGAAACCACGACGACACACACCAGTCGACTCGCATCGGTTGCCTCCATGAACGGCGGAGCTATTCTCGCGCCCACACCACACCTGGCTCCAACGTGGACACGCACACACACACACACACACGTAGGTAGGGGCAGGGGTCGGTCAGGACACTCTACAACAACTCATGTGTCATGAGGCCCGGCACAAAAAAGAATACACTTGCCGCGGTCAATTTCGCAGTAGAAAATCCCAAGAACGGCGTCTTCACAGGGGTGTCGCTTGGGTGCGCCGCAAGGGCGCGTGCCGCCGCCCTCCTCGCCGCCGCCCGTGATCATCCGATCGCCCCTGTCGTCCATGTCGTCCACGTGTATCGCCTCGCCATCTCGTGACTCCACTTCCCCGCCCGAGTCGCTCGCGGCGACTCCACGCGACGGCTTGTGCGAGCCAGAGGGCAGCCTCCGCACGCAGCGCCGCACCACGGCCGCTGTACGCCGCCGTACGCTCGCGCTCCTCTCGGTCGGCCTCGTCGCCGGGACCGCAGACGCACTCCTCACGCGGCTCGCAATCACGCTGGACGGCGCGTCGCTCGCCGAGTGGCTCGCCATCAAGGGCCTGGCGAGCGCGCTCTTCTCGAGCGGGCTGCTGTTGCATCAGAACGGGATCGGCGCCGTCCGGCGCCTCCCCGCCGCGGCGGCGCGGGTGCCTGCTCACTTTGCCGCTGGCTCGCTACTGCATGCGAGTGCTCTGAGCTGCCGCGCCGCGGCATTTTACTCGACGGGCGGGTCGGCGGCGCTCGCCCTCCTCTTGATCTCCCTCTGCCCGTTCTGGGCCGCGCTGCTCGGGAGGGTGGTGCTGGGCGACGGCGCCTAGATGCGGGACACGCCGACCCCCCTGTATCGAATTCATGCCAGCACTCGAGACGGATCGTGCTCTTCGCTGAGTTAGTGCTCGCTGCGGCCGCGGCTCCGTAGCTCACAAGGGTGATCGGACTGCAAAGGCGACGTCCTCCCTCGCCGCACCGTCGCCGCGCTCGTCGCCGCGACCGCCGCCGCCGCCATCGGCGTCATCCTGCCAAGCAAGCCCGCGTACCGATGGATGTGCACGCCTGCGCCCCGCCCCACCCCGCGCACCTGCCCACCATCACCACTTTCTCGCCGGCGGGCCCACGGGGACCGTCTAACCGGTTGTCTGGCAAAACCCACACCATTGCGGCCGGAGGCGGCCCTTGGAGACCGAGCACTGGCGATCGCCCCTCATCCGCGCCCCTCGTCACTCAACAGCGCCTCTCGCGCCGCCCCCACGTCCACCCCGCGCCCCTTACCGCCCTCTGCCTCGCCTCTCCCCTTCACCCGCTCTCCACGTTGATCTACACGTTGATCTCCCCCCCCAGGCTGCTGCTCAGCGTCGAGGATGAGTTCGCCGGCGCGCGGCGGAGCGCCATGTTTGCCCTCGCCGCCGGCCTCTGCCTCGCCTCCCTCCTCACGACCAGCCGCTCTGTCACACGGCACAGCGACACTCCTCCGACGCCACACCTCTAGCCACACCTTCCGAGACCCTCCTCTCTCCGACACACGTCTCCACGCCCACGACACGCCCGCGACACGTCCCACGACACGCCCACGACACGTCCACGACATGTACATGTCCACGACACCTCAACGACGGTCGCGTCCACCGACAACCACGAGGCGTCCACGAGCCCGTCCGCAGGTACAGCGACGCCCCCGTGGTTGGCCTCGCAACCATCGCCGGGTCGGCGACGGTCGGCGCCGCCTCGCTGCCCGTCGCTCTCGCCGGCATATGGACGGCGGCGCCTCTTACGAGATCTCCCGAGATCGCCCCGAGATCTCCCGAGATCGACCGAGCCTAGGTTTGGACGACGACGGGTTCCGAGACGCAAGCTTCTGGCCGATCGCTTTCTGCGCCGGTGTGCGCCGGGGGAGCCACCCCACGGCACTCCTCTCTCCGGATACGCCTCCTGAACAAGTGAACATGCCCCCGAAACAGACCCTCCGCTTCCCCCTTCTCTCCACAGGCGCCGGCGCGAGCCTCTTCACGAACGCGTGCGTCGTGCGAGCGCCGCGGCAGGTGAGCTCGGCGGAGGTGGGGGTGGTGCTGCTGCTCGAGAGCAGCGGCTCGCTGGCGCAGCTCGTCCTGCTGCTCGAGGCGCCCCCCCCCCCCCCCCCGGGGGGGGCCCACGGGGGGGGGAGACGCAAGAAACGACCCGCCCAGTCGGGGAACGGAGACCACGCGCCCGGTCGGACTCTTTGACCCACCGGGCTTGCACTTGCGGGGGGCGGGCTCCCTGCCTGTGTCTTTGGGCGTGTGGAGCAGTATGCGGGGGGGGTAGACTGCCTGGCTCCTGCCCCACACACACCCGCGAGGGGGAGGCGTTGACCTGAGCCCTCAGGCGGCGATCTGGACCATCGCGGGCTACTCCTCCGCACGTGACTTTTGGAACCCGTGGATGGTGGCCGGCATCTCGCTCCTCCTCTTGCTCATCGCGGCGCACGAGGTGGCGCAGATGAAAGCGGCGCGCAGCACGGCGCGCCGACGGTTGTGTCAGCTCCTCGACGCGGCAGCGGTACGCAGCAGCCCTAGCACGCCGGCTAAGGGGGGAGCGGTGGCCGCTCGAGGCCGCGGTGCACAGCGGAGCTAGTGAGCTCCGGTCACGGACTCGCCGGCGAGAGACGGCGAGAGACGGCGAGAGACCGCGGGATACGGGGAGATACCGGGAGATACGGGGAGATACGAGATAGGAGAGGAGATACGCCAGTTGGCATGGGGTGTCGAGGTGTCGAGTCAGTGTCGAGGTTTGGTGTCGAGGGTGTGCATCGAGGCCAAGGGCTCAGATACATAAACATATATTTTGACACGCCGCGCTCGCGGAGCGTCCGAAGAGCCCAGTCATACATCACACACACAAGATCAAGAAAGCTGCCACGCGCAGTTTCGTACTGACTACTGTGATCGTCGCAGCCGAACCCCAAATCCCACCCAACGCACAGTCCACAGAGCTCGCGTCAGAAGCCGAGCCGTCCGAAGAGGCCTCCGCGCTGCCTCGAGGCGGAGGGGGCTCTGATCCACACATTGATCGCGTATTTCACGCCGCGCAAGGGGGCGGTGCCGGCGTGCTCGGTGCGCTCGTCGTCCATGCCCGAGTCCAGGACGTCGTTGAAGACGAGCGCCGTGTAGGCGGTCGGCTTGATGCGCAAGTTGAGCCGCGGGAAGGTGGTGTGGCCGCCGTCCTCCTACGATCGGTTCCGAGAAGGCTCCGAGAGGGCTCTGAGAAGGCTCCTATGGGAGGGTGGCTCTACCCGCCCGCGCCTCCTCGGGCAAGTGAGAGGCGCAGATCGGGAGGGCGCACAATCTCGGCGATCTCGCGGCATCTCTCGGCTGCATCCGCACCTCGGGCAGATCAGAGAGGTAGATGAGGAAGGTGAGGTGGCGGCGCGGCTTCTGCGGAAAGTCGCAGAGATCGAAGAGGTCGTGATGCGCCTCGTACTTCTCGCCCGGGTGGTACCGCACCACCTGCAGCGGCTCGAGCATCGGGTCGTCGTAGCCCGAGAAGTAGGAGATGCGCGCGCGGATGGCGTCGACCGCCCAGTTGCGGCCTGCGAGCGTCGCCGTCGACGACGTCCTCCGGTCCTGGAAGCAGAATACGCCAACCTCAGGGCACGAATACGGTATTGTGCAGCGTATTCAGAGCACGGCGTGAATACAACGGAGAAGACTACGTATTCAGCTTCTGGGCCTCCGGTCCTGGGCGACAGAGCGGACTGGCGAGCGGTGGAAGTGCGACTCGGACAGCCGCAAAATCTCTGCCGCCTCCGCGGCCGTCACAAAGTCGTGAAGCAGCCGCACGCGCGGAGAGGCAAGCACCTGCACCACGCGCACCTCGTGCGGCGGCGGAGCGATCCTCCCGCCGTAGGACTCAAGCAGCCCAAGTTGAGGGTGCGGCGGCGCCGTCAGCGACACGGAGCGGCGCCGAACACGCGGCGTGCTGCGCGACACGTCCACAGGGCAGGTGAGCGCGTCTGCGCCGCGTCCGTCCCTGCGCCGCTGCGGCGGCACCGCCCGGCGCTGCCACGGCAGGGTGCGCGCGGCGGCGCACTGCGTGGGCAGCATGAGCTTGTAGGTGTTTTGGCCCGCCCATCCTGGCAGCCAGCACCGCTCGTGCGAGCGCGCCTCGCGGCTAGAGACGTCGATGCGCGAGGAGAGCACGGCGCGGGCCTCCGGCCTGTGTGCGGAGAGCACGCTGTCCACGTCCGACGCGGCGCACGACTGCAGGCAATCCTGCGCCATCCTCGTGGCATCGCTGCGGCACTCCCCCCGCGCGGCCCGCGCGGCGCACCCGCTCGACTTGTCGGAGGCCTCGCAGCGCAGCGCCTTGTCGCAGACGCCGACGCTCCAGCCCGAGTAGGTCGAGCGAGCGCACCGCTCCTGCACCGTGCAGGAGGTGTTGCAGAGCGCCGCCAGGTCCTGAGACTCGCACCGGCCGAGCAGCGACCACTCCACACAGCGTGAGTCGCGGTCGATCTTTAGGCCGGTTCGCTCCTCCCACGCGTCGCACTCTTTGCGGCACGTTGAGAGCATGAAGGCGGGGTTGCGCGAGCACTCGCCCGCCTGTGCATAGCCCGCACACTCCTTCTCCATCTGCTGGCGCATGCCGCTTCGCGTCTTTCCAGTCGCTTTGGCTTGGCGGCACGCGGCAGCGCAATGCTTGGCCATGTAGGAAGGGTTCGATGCGCACTCGCCGGCCTCTGCCCATGAGTTGCACATCTCCTCCTCGGCGAGCGCCGCCGCTGCCAAGACGGCGAGAGTGAACTTCATCTCCCTCGGAGCGCTGAGAAAAGAATTCAGAAGTCAATGCAAACTTTTTTAGATTAGCTCTTTGGAGTGCTGGCAGGGTTTGCGATGAGGAGTGTTTCCGTCCGATTGGTTTCCTCGGGTTAGCGTGCACCACTTCACCGCCTGTTCACCGCCTGCCACCTGCGCAAGAGCACGCACGTATTTGAAAACAATGAAGGAGAGAGTGCTCGGATTCACAAAAGCTCATCGCAACCCCCGTCAGCAGTCCTCCCTCGGGAATGTTCGTAAGAGCTACATACACCGACCTGGCTGTGTCCTGTGAGCCAGGCGAGGCCCGGGGGGCAAAGACAAAATCACCGCGAGATCAAACTTTAGACCCTCCCCGGAGTGTGGCTTGCCCGTCGGGGTCGGCCGCGCCGACACTTACCGACACCGACCGGAGGCGCTGCCGCTGGCTCCGTTGGAGACAAGTTCGCCTTTGGCAACACCGACGAACGCGCCCGCCTCGCAAACATGGGCTGCAAGCAACGGTCGCGGGCTCCGTGGGCGTCAACGGGCATTCGACCACACCACCGGCCTAATTAAGGCTACGTCAAGTCACAGCGTGGCCACTACCATGATGGCATCATCACACCAAACGAAACACAGTTCAACCTCTTTCTCCATCCACGAGACATTCGGGTGGGCGGCTTCTCGCCGCCTAGCTCGCCGCCTGCAGACCAGTTGCAAAGATCAACCGTCTCGCACGCAAGGAAGGCTCAGCGCTCGGGCGTTGACCGCACCGCCTACCCTCCCCACTCCCGCCTCTCGTTTGTGTCACACCACGCGCAACGCATCTCCATCGCTTCGGTGAAGGAAGGGGCTGGAACCGCGCCATCCTCGATCGCCGTGCAAAGCTCGCTTCCGAGCTCTCACTCACGCCGCGCGTAGGTAGGGCCCTTCCTTACTTACTTAGGGGCCTAGAGAACACAACCTCTTAAGCTAAAAGTACGTGGTCCCGTACCATGCGGAATCGACCCTATCAAGTGCTCAAGTGCTCAAAAGTACGTACGACACGGCGGCCGACACTCACGCCGCAAGCGAATCGGATTCCCCATTTGGCAGCATTTGGCCAATTTTCGCCCGGGCACGTCCCTCCGCCACCTCCCGCAACACCGCTGCCCAGGCGTCAACGCCGGCAGGCAGCTGGCGACTGCGGGCGGGCGTACACATATGCCCCCGCAGTCGCCAGTTGTCAGCGCCGCCGAGCCGGCGCCACGTCTCAGGAACGTCCTGTTCCTTGTGCTAGACGACCAAGCTCCGCTGTTTGGCTCGTACGGACGGCAGGCCGGCTTTGCATCAGCCCGTACGCCATCTATCGACCGGTTTGCAGCAGAAAGTAGTCTCTTCGAGACAGCCTACGCCCAAGCTCCGACCTGCGGCGCATCACGCGCAAGCCTGATGACGAGCCTCTACGCCACCACAGACCGCTTCATGCAATTCGACACCTGGGCTGAGCGCGAGGCACCCGGTGTCACTGACCTGCCAACGGCACTCCAGAATGCTGGCTACATCACTCTCTCAAGCGGCAAGATCTACCACAAGCGGCTGGACAATGAGCAGTCCTGGCACGAGGTCTGCGGCTTTGGGTCGGACATCCCTCGCTGCAGCTATGACAAGGGCATGTGCTGTCGTCTTGTGAGGCCCGTCGGCCGCCGCACGAGTGAAGAGGGCGAGGAGGCGACAGTGGACACCTTCGCCGAGTTCGCCGCGCGAGAGAGCGTCGACCTGTCAGCTGCGAAGGCCAGCTACTACGCGTACATCGATGCCGAGGAGGACGACGGCTTGCTGGGTCTCTCTGCATTTGCTCGGAATGGCCCGACCTGTGGCCATCGCGGACTCCCCGCCTGCAAGCCTCCAGCCGTTGAGGCGCCAGACGTCGACGACTACGCACTGCCCGACGGCAAGCTAACCAAGAAGGTGATCGGCGACATCCGTCTCGCCAAGAAGGAGGGCACGCCCTTCTTCATCGCCGCCGGGTACAATCGGCCGCATCTCCCGTTTGCCGCTCCGAAGCGCTACTGGGACATGTACAACCGCTCCCAGATTACGCTAGCTCGCAACCCGTTTCTGCCCGAAGGGGCACCAGCGCACTCCGTAAACTACTTTGAGCTCCGGACCTATGGCAGCAGAAATCGGCAGCAGATTCCGGAGTACGATGCAGGCACCGGCGGCCCGAGTGGAGGGGCACTCGCTATCCCCGACAACCTTGCCAGAGAGCTCATCCACGGCTACTACGCCTGCACCTCGTACATCGATGCGCTCATCGGCGACCTTTTAAGGGAGCTCAGGGCGCAGGCGATGTACGACGACACGATCATCACGCTCACCAGCGACCATGGTTACCATCTCGGAAACAAAGGTACCTGGTGCAAGCACACGCTGTACGAGACGGCGCTACACGTACCCATGATCGTCAAGGTGCACCCTGCAGTAGACCCGACAGGGCCTCCACCTCTCAAGTACGCCTGTGCTCCTTGACGAGCATCGCTCTCCTCCACAGGCGCCCGGCTTTGGCCCATCGCGCATACCGGCACTGGTGGAGAACATCGACCTCTACCCGACTATCCTCGATCTAGTCGGCCTACCCTCGCCGGCTCACGTGCAGGGAAGGTCAATGGTTCCGCTGATGAAAGGCAAGACAGCTTCGTCAAAGAGCGCGATCTTCGCGCGATATCTCTACATGGACACCGTTCGGTACCAGGACAAGCAGTACACGTCCTTCTGTAGACTTGACCGTTGCTGGGACGCCAACAGTTGCCGCAATGCGTGCAAGTCCGACTCGGACTCCGACATGCTTTATGATCGTAGCATAGACCCGGAGGAAGACGTCAATCGCGCAAAAGACCCTGCCTACAGCATGGTGGTCCAAGAGATGCGAGCCACGCTGCAGAGGCACAAGGAGGCTCGCGAATCTCCGCCGCCGCAGTCGCCACTCTCGTTGCCTCCACCCCCCCCGCAGCGGCCGCCGTCGCCGTCGCCCTCGCCCGCCGCCCACGCCCTCGCCGCCGCCGCCGCCGCCGCCGCCGCCGCCGCCGCTGCCGC